TTTATTTTCTTATTTTTTTTAAATGAAGGTACTGGGGATTGAACCCGGGACCTCATGCTTGCTAGGCATGCGCTCTACCTCTGAGCTCTACCCTCCCCACCGAGGAGAGATATTTCAGACAGTTTAGGAACGTTTCAGAATTTATGATGTTGGTAAATATAGAAGCCATTATTGTGTTTCCTCATCGTCTAGGTATAATCCAACAGTTGTCTTTGTGAATGTTTATACTCTTGGGACCTGTCATAAAAGCATCTGAATTACAGATTTCTTTTGTTCCAAGAGTGTTTTTCCAATTTCACATTGTGGAGATAAAAAGGGAACCTATAGCAGCGTTCTCGACCTCAGTAATTTTTCAGAAGGTTAAAATTTATATGTAAAACTATATTTTGATTGTTCTCCAGTAATCTCATGGTCCAGATGGTCAGGAAGGGGAAAGATTATTACGGGTGAATACAGCCAGGAAAGTTTCATGCAGGTGGCAAGAATGTGGAGAGCTAACAATTTTCCAAATTATCTGGCCTATCCGTTTCATAATATCTTATGAAGTCTAGAATAAGAGCTGATGTGTTTCTCCTTATAGAGCAGATGGGCTGTGGGAATGTATTGTTAAATTTATCTGTTGGAAGCCCACTACTGTGTAGTAATGACGTTTTTGGAATATTACTCTCACTAAATCAAACTCCTGTCTTACCACCCAGGTAGGGTCAAAGTCTATTGTTACAGTCACTGTTCATCTGAACCTACCTCCCCCTTCTCCATCAGATAATGCAATGGATTTTACTTAGGTAAATGTTAATATTAAAAAATAAAATATGGAGCATCACAGATATTTGATTATAAGAGAAAATATTTGGGTATCAGAAATTTACATGTAATTAAAAAAATACTTTCAGATTTTGCTTAAGGAAAGTCTCAGAAAAATGGCTCAAACGGTCACGAAATCAGTAGCTGTTTGGTGTAAGGCTCTGTGATGGGTGCTGGGGGAGTCATTTTGTAAATGTTTTGTGCCCAAGGTCTGGTGGAGAATAGTTTTCATGGTCTCTTAAGGCATTTGTGCCCCCCCCCCAGCAGATTCCGCTGCTGGCTTCTGATCTCTAGAGTGTTGGTCTAGTGTAGATCTCGGCTGTGGGTCAGTCTGCTTTGTGTCCCAGGTGCCTGTTAGACTTTGAGGGTAGGGCAGGCAGGGGAGCAACTGGCTGTCCATCTGCCCTTTCTCCTAAAACCCAATTTATGTGATATCTTGAATTATTTTCTACTGGCCTTATTGCACTGTTAATTCCTGTTTTGTTTCTGTGTTACACTGTGCTTAGGAGACTATTAATGTGATACTTTGGCGTCATTATGAAAGAAAAAAACTTCAGGAAAAACATGAGCTATAGAGTTAAAAAGTTAGTAGGCCGCTGTCACTAATTCATGAGATAAATATTTGTTGTTCTCGACTGTTTGTTTTCTTCCAGAACAAATGATGAACCTGAGATCTTCATTTGGACCAAGAAGCATAGTATACTTTTATAGACCTGAGGCTGTGACAGTTAAAGAGAACAATTTTAGTTTTTTTGAAGTCATTTCCCCAAAGAATTGACCAAAGGAAAAGAGGGAACAGAAATTCTTGTCAAACTGGGGCAAACCCAGAAACCGCTGGAGGGAGAGAGGTTTTTTTTTTTTGCGAGGAACCAGACATGCGGTTGCTTTTACATGTTAAAATTTCTCCTCAGACATTCTCATTATCATCTACTATTATTGTACTGAGTCTATAAATAGTATTTGTATGGGAAACAGACCAGAAAACCATCCAAGTAAAGTAGAAAACAGCATCATTTGGTTTTGGACAAAGAAGCAGAGCAGCAAAACGAGAGCCTGAGTTTCCTTCCTTGTGACAAAAATCCGATTAAAGGCAACTCCGCGGTGTGCCGTTGGGGTAGTGGTTCCCGCTAGGAAGCCTGGGGCCTTCCAAGTCATCACAGTACAATGCTCCCTGGGACCGCTAGGGGCGCTGCTGCGCGGGCCAGTGTGCCTTTCCTGGTGACCACGTGGGAGGTTCGGGGGTATGGGCTCGTTTATTCCAGAGACCCCCGTTGCTAGGCTTCTGTGTGCTAGATATTTGTTTAACCCTTTGAGAAAGTTAATATGTGATCTGTGCCCTCCCAGGAAGTAGGCTGGTAGGAAAATAAAGCATTTATAGGATGTTTTATTTTTATTTACTTATAAACTTAGAGGTTGTTTTTTTCAGGCTTAGAAACTAACAACCTCCTTTTCTACCAGTCCCTGCCACTTAATTCCCCAGAAAGACCACTTTGAACTTTTAGCCATTCTTCTGTTTCTTTCCAGACTGTGATTACCTTTACTTCTTTTTTTTTTTCCCCCAGTGTTAGGTACCATCTTTTTTTCACTTCATACTGTTGTCACACTATGTCTTCAGTTCATACCATCTTACATACTGCTTTCCCTTTCTCTCAAGAGGGTTAAAACTTAATTTTGGCAAAATTAACTTAATTTTTAATACTTGTCTTTCAGTGACTTTGTACATATTACTCACGGCTCAGTTATTTTAATTATTTTGTGTTAGTTGTAGAACTTTGTTTTTCCAAGAGTTAACATAGTTGTCCCTTCATGTCTGCAGGAGATTGGTTCCAGAATCCACGAACGCTCAAATCCCTTGTATGAAATCATGCAGTATTTGCATATAACGCTTGCACATCCTCCTGTATTGCTTTCAGTCATCTCTAGATGACTTACAATACCTAATACAACGTAAATGCTATGTCCGTGTTGGCTAACATGCTGCAAATTCAAGTTTTGCTTTTTGGAATTTTCTGGAATTTCCTTCCCCCAAATATTTTTGATCACTGACCATACTTACCTTTGAGTTTTCTTTAAAAAAAAAAATATAAATTTTCTCTTACTACATTTAGACACATCAGGATATTGATGAATTCCATCTTTCTTTCTCTGGACACATTTCCTGGAATTTCTAACCTCTTGCTCTAGTTTAGACAAGAGCCTCTCTGGACCTTTGGTACAGCTGTTGTCCTGGAATAGTTCTGTGTTGTCCTGTGAATTCCGTTTGCTTCTTTGCTTTTCCAAAATTCATCCTCCTGCTTTGTTCCCATGGTTTGTCAGAGTGTGTTAACCCATAGCTTCTGATAAAAGGAAGCATATGAGAGTAAGATTTTTCTTTCTCTCTTTTTTTATATTTATTGAAAAGATTGGGAGGCCTTGAGTTAAAAATCTGGGATAAAAGTGCTTCTTATACAGACTTCCAACTAGTCTACATCTGCCCTTATTTTCTCACCTCAGGAGTACGTGCTGTCTCGCCAATTTTTGTAGCCCAAACTGACGTACTTCTTGGCTTCTTTCTCTGTAGGCATGTTCACATTACCTTCCATCATCCAAAGTTTTGTTGAGTTTTTTTCCAGGCTCATCAGCAGATCTTCAGTGGCAGTAGATCACCTCCAGAATGGTGATTGGATTCTTTTTTTAACAAAAGCACAAAAATATAATATGCTATTTTTGCACGCCCCAGTTAAAATCTTTTGTGTATTTGGAAAATGTTAGTCTCTTCAACTTACTGTTGTCAAAACTGGGTTGGATTGTAGTGTGGATAGTTATTTTTGCAGAAATTAAAATCACATTCTCTAAACAAACATTTTAAAAAAAATTACACTTACTCTGTGGGCATTCATGTGTTTATCAGATTAATCTGAGTCTCCCAGGTAATCATTTGATTTCTGTTTTGGTAACTGAATGAAATACAGTGTGAAGTATCATAGGAATAGCATTTCAAACCAGTTTCATTAGTGTAAACCTAGTAGTTCTGAACAAAGAGAAAAAAAATTCCTAGATTGTAATTTTAAATTCTTGTTTGGAAAACATTCTCCCTCTTCCTTAATAAGTTTTGTTGGTGAGACTCTTGATTTTGCTGTTCTCACTCACCTGCCTTTATTGTAGACTTCGAGCCAGACTTCCCCAGACTTCTGGTCTCACAGGATATCTTGGCGAAGGAGGAGGTGGGAGCCTGAGGAATAAGGATGTAGAAGGGAGGGTTCAAGGCTTAAATCAAAGTGATTTTGCGTTCACCTTGTTTGTTTTGTTGGTTTTATAATCCAGACATTCCGACTTTAGTTAATCATTCGTATTCAGGATAAGGTACAGAAGTTCATGTGGATGAATCACTTTCACAATTGCTGTGGGGCGCTGTGCAATTTTTAAGAATATGCTCCTGTAATTCCCTATCTGTTTATGTTTTGGTTTGTCCTCCCAGAGTTTCTGAATACTTGATCCTTTCCGCAAGCCACAATATCGGTGCAGATAGTTTTCTAAAGCAGTGCTTTTCAGCCCTAATGGGCAAAGGGATCAACCTGGGGAGTGTGTTAAAATGTAGATTCTGGGATGAAACCTAAGAATCTCTATTTCTAACAAGCTCCCCAAATGCTGATGCTGGTGGTCCTTCTGACCACTCTGACCAGCAAAGGTCTTAAGTGCCTTGGATGAGAGAGAAATACAGAAGTACAGAATATGGAATCTGTTTTCAAGTGTCCATAAGTTCTGAGCTTCCAGGATGAAGTCCGTGGGAGACCTTGCGTTACTGGCTGCTATTAGGTGCCTCTAAATATACTGGATTTGTTGCTTCTTGCAGATTTAATATACTTTTTATTATTTGTGGGATTCTGTTTAAAAGTGATTCCTATACTACATTTTATTTATTAATGTGTAAATTTTATTTATTAAATATATAACCTAAATACCCCTAGTGGCCCTTGAAGAAAATTTATTATACTTGATACATCCTAAACTTCAACTTGGTGCACACAAACATCTCTTATCTATAGCTGTTAGTCACTGAAATCCTATTGTATATACTGTTTGATGCTTATAAAAACATAGAACCACAGAATATATACAAATGTATAAGTATCTTTATTGTAATGTTTATTTTTGTGCAATTAGATATTAGCGATGTAAAAAGGATTAATTTTTTTTTTAATTTATCTTCTAAATAGCTCAGTCACTGAAAGAATTTGCAAGACTACTCATTGCAGTAGAAGAAGAAAGGAGAAGACTGGTAAGTCTCTTCCCCATTTCTTAAGAATAATGCTTTTTGAAAAAAATTATAGTCAGTTGCAATGTGTCAGTTTCTGGTGTACAGCATAATGTCCCAGTCATACATATACATACATGTATTCATTTTCATATTGTTTTTCATTCAAGGTTATCACAGGATATTGAATATAGTTCCCTGTGCTATACAGAAGAAATTTGTTTTTTATCTGTTCTTATATATAGTAGTTAATATTTGCAAATCGCGAACTCCCGAACGTATCCCTTCCTACCCCTTCCCCCAGTAACCATAAGAGTGTTTACTATGTCTGCGAGTCTGTTTCTGTCTTGTAGATGAGTTCATTAGTGTCTTTAAGAATAATGCTTGTTTGGACATACTGAAAAAGGGAGTAGACCTTCTGAATTAGACTTAGCCATACCAGATTTTATAATTTGATACATGTATTGAATGCTACAGAAAAGATTTGTGACTATGATTATCAAATATTACTAATAAGATATACCATTTCTTTTTTTTTTCCTTTGTTCAGTCAAATTACGTTCATTCTGCTTTCTGTTTAGCTTCTCTGAAAATTAAAAATACTGAACGGACTGCCACTAAGAAACCCACCTAATTGAGCAGACTTCTAAATAATCTCAGTGTTACAATAAAAACACATTTAAGTATTGAAAACAGTTCACGGGAGGAATAGCTAGCCTTACCAGGATGTTAGCAGGAAACTTTCTTGAAAAGGTGACATTTGAGTTGAGTCTTGAAGGCGCAGAGGATTTTGCTGGGCTGGAGAGAATGAGGAAAGCATTCTAGGTCGACAGAGTAATTTATGCAATAGTATGAAAGCATGGTTACTAGTATCCCTTCACAGATACAATTTTGTGCCCATTGTGTTCAAAGTCTGTCAAGGCCTCTATCAGTAACCTAGGCTGCCCATTTGTATATGGAAAAATAGTATATACTCCCCAGGATTGTTAGAAACATTTTATAACAACACCTGGCACGTAATGAATAAATGTCTCAATGGTGGTAAAGATGCTGGTTATCAGTTACAGTGAGGGTTACAGACTCGTTTAAAGCATCAGCTTTGATATCACTGGCTTTACCGTTCTGTTGGGGAATTATACATACACATAAGCTAAATGCTCAGTGTGCTAGGCGTGCAGCACAGTTTGAGGTCATTTTGCTCAATGGATGACGGACAGCAGTTAGAGGAGGGTGCTCTTAATTTTTTTTAGTGAATTAATTTTTTATTGCAATATAGTTGGTTTACAATGTTGTGTTAATTTCTGATGTACAGCATAGTAATTCAGTTACATATATAATATATTCATTTTCATATTCGTTTTCATTATAGGCTATTACACGGTATTGAATATAGTTCCCTGTGTTATACAGTAGGACCTTGTTGTTTATCTATTTTATATATAGTCATGTGTATCTGCAAGTCCCAAACTCCCAGTTTATCCCTCCACCCCCTCCCCTTTGCCCCCTGGTAACCATAAGTTTGTTTTCTATGTCTGTGAGTCTCTCTGTTTTGTAAATAAGTTCACTTGTGTCATTTTTTAGATTCCATGTATAAGTGATATAATATGATATTTTTCTTTCTCTTTCTGGCTTATTTCACTTAATAGCCTGATCTCCGGGTCCATCTGTGTTGCTGCAGTGGCATTATTTCATCTTTTTATGGCTCAGTAGTATTCCATTATGTATATACATCACATCTTCTTTATCCAGTCATCGGTCGATGGACATTTAGGTTGTTTCCATGTCTTGGCTGTTGTAAATAGTGCTGCTATGAACACTGGGGTGCATATATCTTTTCAAATTAGAGTTTCCTCCAGATACATGCCTGGGAGTGGGATTGCTGGATCATATGGTAAGTCTATTTTTAGTTTTTCAAGTAATCTCCATACTGTTTTTCATAATGGCTCTGCCAAACTACGCTCCCACCAACAGTGCAGTTGGGATCCCATTTCTCCACAGGAGAAGGGTGCTCTTAAGGTGGCCCTGACTCATAGTGAGCTTGCCTAAGCTAAGGGAGAATCACACAAGGAGGGCATGGCAGTCATGGAAGTGACCTTGAGCAGAGGCCACAGGTGGGAGGAAATTCTGAATATATTTGTAGAATAAGGTAGTGTGTTCCCAGAAGGTATTAGTAGAAGATTAACTGGTAATTTTGAGCATATGTGGGGTTTAAGGGCTGGGCAAAGAAGTTTTGGTGTTTGTTATAGACAGTGGGAAAATTGCTAGAAGGTTTTGGATAGAAGCCTGGGATTGAGGAAAGATTAATTTGGTGGCCGTGTGGGAGACAAGCTGGGTGAGGAAGAAATGTTGTGGAGAGAGTTGACTGTAGTTACAACAGAAACATGAGCCTACCAGAGGTCTGGTCCCAGCATCGGAGAGACAGCCACACAATGTGATCCGTTCTAGGTATAGAAGAGCTGTTGTGGGAGATTGACCCTCTCTGGAGGGGTCAGAGAAAGCTTTTCTGTGGAGGTGACAACACTCTTAAGTGCTTTGTACATATGCAATAGAAGTTTAAATTCCATGGGGGAGACGTGGGTAGTGTGTATACTTACGGCCCAGAAGAGGAGCTAATGGTGAAGATGGGAAAGGGTGGTCAGAGAGAAATGGCATGGGAGCCAGGAGAATGCAGTTGACTCTGGAACAACACGGGTTTGAACTGCGTGGGTCCAAGCACATGTAGATTTTTTTCAATAGTAAGTACTACATGATTCACTGTTGGTTGAATCCGTGGACGCAGAGGGCCGACTATCAGTTATACACGAGTTTTCCACGGCACCTCTACCTACCGTGTGGTTTAGAGGCCAACTGTATATGGTTCTGGGCTGAGAGATTCACATCCTGTGCAAAGAGTGAAGGAGAGTGATGTCATCTAGGATGGGCTATAATTTGAGAAAGTGTATAAAAAATATGGGAAAGTGTTTTAATATGCAGGAGGAAAAGAGTCACGAAGACGTTCTTACAGCCCTGAGGGGAGACCTGTAGGCCCCAGGGAAGAGGTCCGCCTCTGTGCGGGGATGGAGAGAGGACCGGTTAAAACACAGAACTTCGGGCGGGAAGCTGGCTGGTTGGACAGGCGATGAAGTGTTAGGAAGGAGCGGTCATCTGCCGTGAGAGGAGTTTGTAGAAGGAGTTTAGAACAGCCAGGCGCAGGTTATACAAGAGAAGAGGGACTACTGATCAGGGAGGAAAACACTGAAGTTGAAGTTAGACCTCGTAAACAAGTCAGGGAAAGATGAATGCCTGTGTTTTCATAGGTTTTTCAAACAACACCCAGAGCACTGGATAGTGAGTGGCAAGAACAGCTGGGAGGCCGGCTTCAGGCGGAAGGGTAGGCATGGAAGACATGGTGTTGCAGAACAGGGACACGGATTTGTGTGATGTGAAAATGGGTCCTGGTCGAGTACAGCGTCAGAACAGAAATACCGGCTCTCCTGAAGCTTACGTGCTATGGGGGAAAACAGACATTTCAGCCAGTTATGTCTGATGGAGGTAAGTGCCAAGAAGATGAATAGAGCAGCTAGCAGAGTATGTTGCCCTGTATTGGGATGAAGGAGGTAGGGAAGAGAGAGTTAAATTTTGAATCTATTTAGATGCCTACTGGGTATCTAAGTGGCCCTGTCTAGGGAGCAGCTGGATATATGAGTCTGGAGTTCAGGGGAGCAGATGGAACTGGAGATATAAATTTAGACGTTGTCAACATGTGGAGAGTATTTAAAGCTGTGGGAATGTATGAGATCACCCAGTCTGTGCGCAGACGGAAGAGGAAAGGTAGGAGGGTCAGGCCCTGAGGCGCAGAGTGCAGAGCTTGGTGGGATGAGGTGGAATCAACAGAGGAGACTGCGATCAGCAAGAGAACCAGGAGAATATGCTTGGGTGGCTTGCTCAAAGTCCCTTTTATTTCCCATTCATTCCCTTGACTCTAGAAGAGATGCAGGACAGTAATAAATAGAAACTTCCTGGATGTGGACCAGTGGCTCCAAATTGTCTGGGTTACCCTCTACCCCTGCCCTGGGTCCTCTGAGACCTTGACTTTGACAAAACGAAATTTTTTTTTTGGTATGTGTGTTGTTTGTTTTGAGTGTGGGTGTGTATGCGTAGCAATGTAGATTTTTAAAATCTTTGTCACCAATTAAGGAAGGCACAACTTCAGAATATTTTAGCTAATATTTATCTTGAAGAGTTTATACAGGTGAACTTATTTCTTATAGTTTTCATTTTGATTAACGTAAGAAACTTTTTTTTTTTTTTACTGTTACCACCCACAACATTTAACATTCACATCAGACCTGTGTAAGTTATAGATTTTGCTTTAGGTTTCCCGGGATTTATATTCTTTCTCTTCAGTGCTGATGTTAGTCTTTTTCATCCTTGGACAAAGAAGGTGCTTTCCTGAAATGGGCTAGGTGTCTGGGTATTTCTTTGGAACGACGACAACAAAAGAGATGAGGTATTGGAACGGGAAACGTGTAACCTTAACATTCACTTCCTTGGTAAGAGTATTGAAACCCTCTGCTTTCCTCTGTTACATGTTTTTTGTTTGTTTTATTTTGTTTTGGTTTTTTTTAAGCATAGGCAGTCCTACCTAAGGGTTAATAGGGGATAAAATCAAAATAGTTCTAGATCTTTATTAAGAAAGGAAAAACATGTGTCAGAAATATGAATTAGTTGATTATTGATGTAAGATTTGGGGCTCTTATATGAGTCTTAAGAGACTTGAAGAATGTACCTGTGATGTCTGTTACACTGGATGCGAGTCACCTGTGGCTACTGAGCACCCGAGACGGGTTATTGGTACGTGGTTTGCATTGTATTTCTGCTGTGAAGCGCTGCTGTAGATGATGACAGCTGACCCTGAGCATTTTTAAGGCACCAGGCTCTGCTCCCATTGCTTTAT